CTGTAAAAGTTAAAAAATTAGCGACGAAAAAACGTAAAAAAACGTCTGTACTGATGATGACTAAATTCAGTTGAAAAAAGCAAGAAAAAAAGAGAAAATCTAAAGAAATTGCTTTAAAACAAAAAAACGATTTGATTAGAAAAAGGAAAAAAAGTTGTTAAAAGAGAAAATCAAAATTGAAAAAAAAAGCAAAGAATTCTAGAGCGTCGCCAGATAATTGAAAAGAAATAAATTAAGTCTTCTTTTTTTCTTGTTAAAAAGAAAAAAAATCAGGTGTGAACATCACACGACTTTCCTTATCCTACTTATTTGGAAAACATCCTAATAATGACAATAATTTAGTGTAACCTTTGCGTTAGTGCCAACTGCCGGATACACGCGAAATAGGTCATAGTTGTCACGGGTTCGAGTCTGGGGTGCAGTTTTTTTTAGTTCAGTACCCATTATTATTATTATTATTTTATCACATTTTACTGTTTAATAAGGTATATTTTATGATTTTAAATAATTTGTGCCCCTAAGAATTTATTGCATCTTCAACCGTATAATTTTACGGCCGACTTGTGCGACCGATTTTTACCAATTGTTTTGTGCTACGTCCTCTTGCTACAAATAACTTACATACTAAATTTCAAGTTTCTAGCTCTTATGGTTCTCGAGATATTCAACATGTAATAAATTTTGTTATTATGTCATTAATAAAAATTCTTTTGCTATTTTCGTTTTTTTAAGCACAGTAATACATGGACGGGACTTGAACAAAAAGGAAAAAACAAAAGAAAAAAATTGCTAAAAGCGTCAATAAAAAAAATACCTTGACTGCTAATTTATTTTTTCTTTTTTTTTCAATTTACAATAAAATAAGTTCATCTTGGCAAAAAAAATTGAAAATTTGATTAATTGCCCGTTCTTGAATATTCATCTGTTTGAATTGGGTCTTTTCTCCCCTCAAGCACGCCGGCAAAGAACTCGAATCGATCAGCCTTTCTAACAAAAAACCCTCGGACACAACCCTTCCATTCCATACTGACCGCCGTTGTCAAAGTCAATAAATCTTTTCCGTATTCGCAGCGCCGTCGAAAATTCCCCAATCAAAAATACCCCCTTCCCTTTCGATCCTCCTTAAAAGGGTGAATAATGGTACATTAAATTTGCATCTAGGATTCTACGTGATTTTTCACGAGGGAGAGATATTAAGCCGCTTCGAAAAACAAAATACCGACATCAGGTATAAAAATTTGTGTGGGGGGTGGGTGTCCAAGAGGGATGAAAGGGTTCGGAATCGGCAAAATGCAAACGACACTCGTGGCCTCGCTCACTCTAATAAAGCCAAAAGATAATGTCTCGCCTGTAGGAATTATTAAAAGTCCGGCAACCCTTCACTCTTTCCCTATAATTCTTCCAGCGCTCGAACCCTTACGGTCACTTATTATTCAACGTGTGCGTGGTCTTCAAATAAATAAAACGTCGCACGACGGAATTATTTTCTACCTTCAAAGTACGGGGTGTTTCTTTTAATGGCACATTAAAACAAATATTATAATCCCAATAATTGCACTTTGAAGCGCTGTACTTCTAATCCCGAACAACTTCAACAATTTCAGTTCAACTCCCGTCCCTTTCGAGGTCTTAACCCATCCACAATCGTTAACTTTATTACCTGATACATAACCGGAGTTTTTGAGTGTTATCATAAATTTTTATCACTAACAAATATACACGCCCTCGCATGCGAAAGTGGGGATCAATCCGACACAAATCACAACAAAGGGCGTAAAAGTATTATTAAGTCACTGTTACAATTAAAATAATAACTTCTGGTCAAAAGTTGCCTCTCTTGGGCAGTAAATTGTATTTATTCACAATCATGTGAAAGCGTGTGAAAAGTATGACATTTCAACTACATTTAACAATTGATATGAAATATACAGTTCAGGTTGGGAATTGGTCACTTCCTAACCCGAAAGCTATAAGTAAGTGACCACTCAACCTGAACTGTCATTTAATATTTTTTCAAAATTTGATAAATTCTTTATTGATTTTCTGTTCTTTAAGGAGAATAAAATAGTATACAAACCTTGGTAGTCGGTGCTTCATCGAACGTTGGCTTATTGCTAACCGCAGCGCTTCGCGACTTGGTAACCTCGCTATGTAATCTACTATTTATAACACATTTTGTTTCTTGTGATGTAAACTGTGTTCTATACGAGTAATAGAATTTAATAACAAGAACAAACAACAATCGAACACAATTTTTTGCTCTAGGGCAATAAATTTACATTTTGTTAATATTTAATATATTCATTAATTTATTTAAATTTGGCGTTATAGTTTGTGGTATTATGTTATGTGAACAGACCACAATTTATTAGATTAATAACTTTCAATATAAAAAAATTAAAATTAAAAAAAAACACCCGGTATTAATAATAGAAAAATAATTGTTGCTGTGAATGCGTTTCTTATTCAGAGAAGTAATGAATTTTATGTAACGTTTAAGAATCTTAAATAATGCAATTTTCGTGAAAATACGGAGTTACAATTACTTAAAACTGAAAACAATAAAATTCTGTTTCATATGATTTTAAAAGTAGAATTTTTTTGGCTTACAATTTTTTACTGTGAATAAATTTTCGCTCGGTTAATAATAATTATTATATCATTCCAAACACAAACTTTGTCTATTTTTCAATATAAAAAAATTAAAATTTAAAAAAACACCCGTTATTAATAATAGTAAAATAATTTTTGCTGTGAATGCGTTTCTTATTCAGAGAAGAAATAAATTTTATGTAAGGAATAAGAATCTTATTAGATTAATGCAATTTTTGTGAAAATACGGWGTTACAATTCTAGGAAAATATTTTTTTTAGTTAATACTGAAAACAATAAAATTCTGTTTCATATGATTTCAAAAATAGAATTTTTTTGGCCTACAATTTTTTTACTCTGAATAAATTTTCTC